ACCCTGCAAAGTTCCTGCAAGAATGGAAGATCGTTGTTGTGGCCGAAAGCCCTTCGCAACGCAAAATGTGCTAGTAGCTGTTGATTTTGATTTGATGTTCACTTATGTGTTCTGATCATGATTCTACTGTCTTGATACACTCTCTTGACCATCCAAATGGCCTCCGTGTTTTAGAAGGTTTGCATAAAATGTTGCATACTTCACAATTGAATTTTGCAAAATGGGAGAGCTGATCTGTTTGTGTACTCTGAGGAATTATGGAGACAGCTATCATCACCCAAAACGTTTCCATCAAGACACTATTGCAGAACAAAGGCAGATGACTCAGCTTAGGGATGTTATTGCAAATAGAATGTTTGAAAATAGACACTTAATTATTAGAGAGAATTCTTAATGTTTCTCTTGTGGGGTTGCACTATTATTCATGTGCCTTTGTTGTACCTGCTTAGAGCATCTCAAGAGTATCCAAAACACTCTCCCAATCCAGAATTTTTGGCAAGATTGAAAAAAACTCATCACAATTCCCAATCTTTTGGCACTTGCAAAAATCCACCCCCTAGGTGCGGAAAAATACACGCATCCACGTCGCACAGATCCTGCTCGCGGATCGGTTCCCCGTGCTTCTGCTCCGTCGCGCAAAAGGATTCACGTAGCGACTTTTGGCGGAACTCTGAAACCGTCTCGTGCGGAGATCATCCAAGCCAGATGGAGCATGTGTCGAGCCCCTGCAGACTTTTCCACCGGGCGTGGGGGGTCATGTGCGTCGTCTTCAAGAGCTCGAGCTTACGCCTCCACCGTAGTGAGAGGACACGCCGACACGGCGGTCCACGTTCGACGTCATCTGCGTGCTCATCATGCACGCCGATGCTCACCTCCCAAGAACCCTAACAGGCAACAACTAGTAGTTCTCATCATGCACACCAATGTGACTAGCCGAACATGAGCATCGAATTCACCGCGAGCAAGATCTCCGCAGTGGCCAGTGAAGGCAGTGGGACCAAATGTTTGATATTTTAGGGATGATTGTTTGAAACTGTTGGAGAAGCCCTTGTTTAGTGCTCCCAAAAAATTTTTGGCAACTTGGAAAACTCAATGATTTTCGGAACTATTTTTGGGTGCTCTTGGAGATGCTCTTATACTTATATTCATGTACCACGTGTAGACTATAATTGTGAGGTAATTTTGAGTTGTACACGCTTTTAGACTAATGTGTCTCTTTTATTCACTTAACTTTGAATTATGCATTCTTTGAAAAATAAAGTTTTAAATATGAGCTCAGCCCTGTGAAGCGGAAGATCTCCTCTATTTCAAAGAGAAAATACAGGAATGCAGGAAGGCCTCTGTTGGTTCGAGGAAGGTGAAGAGCATTGAGTTTTTTTTCTCAAACACGCAGAGAAGCGCATATCATTTTATTAAGAAGAAAATAGAGGGACCCTTACAAAACACCACATACCCAAAACAAGTATTGAGTTGCATGCATCGATCAGTTCAATCCAAAAGCTTAAGTCGATAGAGAGTCCCCTCACATCGAGGCTCCCCTAGGACGTGGAATAGGAGCGAGCAACAATTATTTTATTTAATAGCGCTAACTAGGATTGAACTCGAAACCTCACTCTGATACCATATTGAGTTGCAAAGACCGACGAGTTCAACCCAAAAGCTTAAGATGATGGGGAGAGGTGGGCAATTCACTTAAACTTCAATGGCCAGTATTATGCTCAAAGAATCAACGAAAAACATGGCTCTAACTTCACAAAGCAAAAACAAGTCTACAAGTACCACAACATCAAGAGAGAATGGAAGGTAATATTTTTGCCTAATATGTTATATGCGGCATACTGCTAAAACATGTATTTATGCCTTGATATGGTACATGTATTGTAAACTTTCATACAGGTCGTGTCCATAGATGGATGTAGGAAATCTTACCAACAAGGCAAAATGGTGAGTGTATCACAATTAGCAAGAGTACCAAAAAAATAAAACCAAAAACCTTCAGCACAAGCAAGTTTTTAGCTATGAAACCAAACAGCTAGCTCTGTAATTTTGCCCAGCCAGGCAAAAGAACCAAACAACCACGTTGTTGGATATAACTTTATTAGGCAAGGCTAATTTGCCTAGCGAAACAAAGGGAGGTGGAGCTAAGGATCAAAACGCACCCTAAAAGGCTTCGTTCTTGTTGTATATACATATTGAGATTAAAGGTTGAAAAGAAGAAATAATTTCAAGTCATGACATGGAACAGAAGATGAATTGTGACATTATAGTACCCCTTATGCACAATAGCCCCTGGAATCAGATATAACATCATGAGATACAGCACAAGAATGTATACTCACATGAATTACGCAAATGAAAACCATGGAGAGAACTAAGAAGGAAGGGCACCAAAGTAAGCACACAAGACCAAAAAAAAAATCGGGTGAAGCACAACCTCAAAAAAGTACAAAGTATTGTCCCTCTAAAAGCCTCAAATATTTTAAGGCCCCTTGAATTCATTCCTCATGCTGTTATATAATAATCTACCACTAAATAATAACAAGTTCCTTCCTTTTGTTTTTGTTTGCTTTGCATTACTTTGCCTTGGGTTTGGTTGTTACGCCTTCACAATATTGCAATTATAGAGCCCCGAAAATGTCCCACACCAAAGTGAGGCACTAGTACTACAAATAAAATTAGGAGTCGGCCAAGTAGTAGGATTAGGAATGCTAGTGGGAAACTTCTCCTTGCCGTAATACAAATAGGGCATGTGCCATCCTAAATGTTATTGCATCTAGTAAAACTTTGGTTTAAGGACAATCAAGAACTGAGTTATGCCAATCATTTGAGTAAACAACTTTTACTATTCAATCATTGAACCCCAATGGAATCTCGCATGAAATTAGATTCTTTTTGTTGCAATAGAAACAACTGTGCTTTTAAATACATAACTGTTCACATACAAAAGCAAGAGGAAATAACCAATTTCCTTTATTTGCACAAAACAGCATATTCTTTTCTACATATAGATGCGTATTATTGTAAATAAAATAATTCTTTACAAGGCCAACAGGAGGGATAGAATAAAGTGCCTAATTTGCAAAGCTCTAGCTCTGAAATCCAGGTTGGATGAGTTTGAAGACTGAAATTAAGGTGGTTTAAATTTTTAAATTAATCTAAACTATATAAACAAAATGCTTCACCGAAATGCTCTGAACATACCTAGAGCTCCAAATTTAAGAATTCAGCTATAAATACCCAGCTCCAAGAATTCCACAAATTTCTTGGAACTGAAGCTGTGCGAAACTGGGCCATAATTGCTCTACTTTTGACATCACCTTTTTTCCTATTCTAAGGCATGTTTGGGATGCTGACTTCACCCAAAAACTGGTGTACGATACAGGCATGTTTTGTTACTTCTATGTACTGGAAAAGTTGTTTGGATGACTTATAAGCGCAATTATTTGCCCCTGCTTTGGGTCAATATGGCCCAAAATTTAAAGAAAAATCATCTATCAAGCCCACACTGTAAAAGGACCCTATTGCATTCTTGTACGCAAAATATTACAACCGGAAGCTAAATTATAGGTGTACAAAATGACAAAGTAGCAAAACAAGAGCTAAGCACTACTTCCATCTAAGGAAACACTGAAACGAGCAATTGACTAGCTCTAAAGCGTGACCACCCTCATCCACACCCGTACCTCTTTTTTTCTCGAACTGTCAACAGATTCCTTGTTCTGAGTTTTATTTTTTTTTTTCCATTTTCTTGGTTATAGCTCCGAAAAAATCATGGTGTATAATTCAAGAGTCAGACGTTATCATCATAAATCCTAAAGTCGAACTCAGTGGCAACAATACAAGATAAAAAAAATCGAATCATCCTATACTCCAAGCACAGCGAACAGAAGCAAATGAAGAATCAACAACCGACTCCCGGAGATGGGCCGCTCGCTCCTCTGTTGCTCCAATCGGGACAAAGGGGCAAAACAGGAAAAAAAACGAAAGACCGGGGTCTAGCATCGCGAACCTGGAAAGAGGGGAGAGGCTGGCCCTCCGGATCGACGGGCGCGTCGAGCCCCAGGTCCTCAGCGCAGAATCCGCGCCAGAGGGAGTCGTCGGCGACGGCGGTGCGGAGGCGCGTGCTGGCGCAGGCGAGCGCCGCTGCGGGGCGCGCGCCGGCCCTTGAGATGACCGTGTCGAGGACGAGGCCCTCCATGCTCTCCAGCCCCGCCTCGGCCGGTGCGGGCTCTGGCGGCGGCGGGGACACCATTGGCGCGGCGGAGCCCTCCAATGCGGTGGGAGATTCGGGTAGGGAAGTGTTGCGGTGGCGGAATGGAGAGGAGGCAGACGGTCCGACCGTACCTGAGCACGTTGTATTAGGAGCTGCCGTGGGGCCCACCGTAGTAAAATAACAGCACCAAGTCTATCCGCTTGCAATTTTCATTGTAGACGGAAAAAAAAGAGCTTGTCTATCTATCACCCGCTGTTTTAGCACTGAATTTTTTCCGTATAGATAATGTTCATCTTTCTCCTCTCTGCTCTTCCTCTTTGACACAAATCACAAATAACAAATTACAAATCACGAGTAACAATTTTTTTTTTCTATGAAAGGACAGAGACAAATTTGGTGGCGCCGTCGGAGTTGGGAAAGAAGCTCGCCGAACTTGAGGAAGATGCCGGGGATGGCGGCGGCGGCGGCAGCGTGGGGACGAGCGAGCACGAAGGCGGCAGCGCGGGGACGGGTGGGCGCAGGCACAATGGCGCAGGCGCTGCAGCGACACGGGCGAGGCGGACGTGCGATTCCACGGCAAAAATATTCGTTTGCCACCGAGTGATAAAAGCATCCGGTTGTTGTGTAGCATTTCCGGAAAAAAAAAAGAGCTTTATTTGAGATTTTTGAGGCGAAGTAGGAGTCCTCTAGTTCAGGCGCCACGTGCATGCTATACATGTCGGCATTTGTACACTTATATTTATATATATATATATATATAATATTTATTTATTTATTTATTTATTTATTATTTTCGGCGGGCAGCTGCAACGCCGCCGTTCAGCGCAACCACCGCCGACTCGACGTGGTCCAGCAGGTAACCGTAGATCTTCTTCCTGACCCGCTCGACGGCGTCCGACTCCGGCCCCAGCCCGACGGCGGCGTCCAGCCAGTCGTTCACCCTCTTGAGCTGCCCCAGCGTCCCGGCCACGTCGCCGTCGAGCAGCCGCTCCACGTGGCCAAGAAACCACGCCCGCATCTGCTCTCCTAGCGCCCTCCGCGCCGCCTCCATCCACGACTCCTCCGCGCCGGCTTCTCCAGATGGCGCCGCCCGTTGTGCCGGTGGTGGCGGCGACGCCGGGGACACGGTAGGCGACGCCGCGCCGCTGGACTTGCTGCGAGACGCCGCGGAGTATAGTAGAGAGAAGTGTGCGAGGTCAGTGGTGACTGCGGCACGCAGCCAGGCCCCGGCGGCGGCGTGACCATCTCCCTTGTCGTCGCGGGGAACTGCGGCCCCGAGCGCCCCGTGGAGGGCGAGGAACTCGTCGACGGTCTGCTGCGGCGATAGCTCGGCCACGGCGGAGGTCAAGTCTGCAAAGGCACTGTAGAAACAAGTTGAGTTCAGTAAGTTTTGATCAAATTATTTCAAATGGGGATAAAATAAAGTCTAAAATTCGATCACATCATTTCAAGCGGTGATAAGGTAGGATGCATGCACCTGAGACATCGTAGCAAAGTCTCTGCGGCAGAGGACTGATGCAGGGCCTCTACAGCAGCAGCCTCCGCGTCATCCCTGTACCTCATGACCTCCTACATGCACACACGACCATATTTTGCAACAAGCTAGAATGTTCAGCTACATATTGAGAGGCACCAATGTTGTGGGCGAAAGCAGAACCAAGAGTCCGGACAAAGTGTTTACCAGCCCCAGGTTCTGAAGATCTGATGGTAGAGACTCCCAGCAGGCGCCGATGGTCGCGACGGATGTTTTTCTGGGAGGAGGGGAGACTGTGTCCATGTTCTTCAGTGACACACTGTTGGGAGCCTTCATGTTCGTCCTTGCAGCTGCAACGCCAGGGGGGCTTCTGCTTCCCTGCGTCTCTGTTTTTGGAGGCGTGCCTAGGTTTGTCTTCGTCCTAGAGGTGGAGGTGATCATGATCTTACTGCCTCTCTTTGGCAATGGTTTCTCTTTCTCCTCTGCTGGCAATCTTCTTGGGGCCTGAGTGGATTGTTGAACAAGATCAGCAGACTCAAATATCATCTCATTAAGTCATTATATTCATTTATCGTGGCAGCTGAGATTTTTGAAGTGACCGAAATGGATCTTCTAGTTCCGTACGGTTTGACAGTGACCTCAGTGAAGTTTATCACTGGTGTGGCTTAATCCAGTCGGTGACAAAAGGCAGAGATTTGACACAGAACCATGAAATCTTGTTAGGTGCACCTAATGCCTTTTACGTTTCACTCAAAGGGAATAACCCAAAACAAATAAAGGGGATTGCTACACTAATAATTAGAAATTACTATTTAAATCCTTTTTTTATTACCCTGGTTGGAAAATCGGTTCAGATGTCCTCCTCATATAAAAGTTACATCCGTCAGCACCGGCCAAATGTGGCAATGCATGCTAACGACAAACAAAATGGTTGACGTTAAAGAGTTAATAGTAGCACAACAGTATAGTGGCCGCAAAGATGCCAATAGACGTAAAGCACTACTATATTGCATGTTGTTAACGTAATTTCTCTAAGACAAAACTGAACATTAGAAACCAGAACGTCTGTCATGTTCACCCTTAGAGAGAGAAAAAATGAAAATTTATGAACATAGCTTTTCGTAGAAGTTCTTTCTTGTGCAAACACTGTTAGAGCAAGATGCTAATTAGGATGTCTTGTCATGTCTACTTATGTAAGTGCTTGGCCTCGTCATTATTCACTAGACTCAAAATGCCAATGAGGTATATATGGATCTGTGAAATGTGTAATCAACCTAAGTTGACAGTTAACACTAGACTCAAATGGACCAACAAGGTACACATGAGTTCCGAACATCACAGAACATTATATTCGTGCACAAATTGTGGGAAACAATTGCTTGCTAATGTAAATTCTACAGTAAATGTGAGCAGTCATCCAGTTATGTTCAAAACGGAAACAACGAAACACTCATGAAAGACTTCAAGGATCGGAGACAAAGCTTCTCCATACATATTCAGAAACACAGGCCAATAAACACACTGGTTTCTGAATGACTCACCGAGCTACTTCTGGAGTGCGTCTTTGCCATGACCTTCGAGACCACAGGATTTCCGCTCGCTGCCGCCTCCTTGGCATCCAATTCAGCAGCTGTCCACCCCCAGCTCCTCCTCATTGCCTTGGGACCGGCCGGCTCCGGCAACCTCCCTGCAGGCGTCCTGCACCTCGTCCCTGATGAGGCAGAGCCCGGGCGCGCTCCACTTGCAGTCGCAGGCCTTGCCATTGCCAATGCCTGCTGAGACTGAGAGTGGGAAACCAGACCCGAGCTCACCTTTGTCGCCGACGACAGCGGAGGAGGAGCAAATCTCACCGTGGTCGCCCTCCTGCTTGCTTGCACAGCAACAGCTCCGCCGCCCTTCCTTGCCTCCTCGCCGATGCTCCTCAGAGAGGACGTCGACATGTTCAGCGAGGACGACGACTTGTTCAAGTCCAGTAGCTGGAATCGCCTGTGTGATGCTAAGTTTGATGATTTGGGCTTCTTGGATCTATCCATGTCAATTCACGCTGCTGCTTGATGTCATCATAAGGTATTAGGAAGGTTAAGTAGGTTGTAATTTCTAGTAGGATTTATTGGATGGATGTGGTGCTGGAGTTGGTGGTCGATCACTGAGGCAGTGCTTTGCTTGTAGTTGTAGAGCCAGCCAGTGGTTACGTAGTAATATCATTATTACTTTATTAGCAGCTGACAGGTGCGGTAATCATTCATCAAATGCGACTGGTGACTAGAGAAATTTCAATTCCCGGCAAGTTCTCCACGACGTCAACCGGCATTATACTTTTGTTGAAACGACGTGATAGACAATACTCCAAACACATGTTTGTTCCAGGTGGTAATCGTAACAAGCACTCCAGTACATAACACATAACAAGCAAAAGATTACATTTGTTTCAATACTTCGCTGCTGAACAATGATTTTAGGCAGTTTTTTTTCTTAGCTCGTAATTAAGATGCAAGCCCATACTGCATATATGCCATTGTAGATTGCTTTAAAATTCACTCTCCTTCAGAGGTTTCCGGCCAAGCACAAAGAAGGTCACCGTAAGTATCTCTTCCCTGAGATCATACATCATCAGTTAGTTCCACCTAATTTGAATTTGGTTGCTCAATTGTATGATTCCAACTACTAGATTCTAATTTTCTTTCCAGTCGAGACTTACCGGCTGCCTGTCACCAAGCCGTGGGTGGCAGTCTGCATGATGCTGAACAGCCAATTGCAGCCTTTCGGGGCAATACGGAGGAACTCCAGTGTGGCAACCTGCCAAAAAAAAAAAGAGTAGATTAGTAAGACATCTGAAGATAGACCAAATTCTGCAAATTATACGACTACCTAGAATAGAAACACTAGTAGAGAACATACCTTTCATCTGAGGTCAAAATGGGCTCTAGTCCTGACATTTTTTGCGCCCGGGACTAGAGAGACATTTAGTCCCGGTTGGTGTCTCCAACCGGGACTAAAGGTCCCCTACCCAATGGCTACTGCGCTCGGCACAGTGGCAGGGGACCTTTAGTCCCAGTTGGAGACACCAACCGGGACTAAAGGTGGATCTTTACTCCTGGTTGGAGCCACCAACCGGGACTAAAAGTCCTTCAACCTTTAGTCCCGGTTGGTAACACCAACTGTAACTAAAGGTCCCCCGATGTGTTAGTTCAAAAGGGAAGCATCCCATCCATTGTTAGATGTGTTGTGTAGGTGGGGTGGTAAGCTACGCGTGAGGCAATGCATGAGGTATTGGGTTCGAATCTCACGGGACGCAGCGGTGGGATGCATTTTTTTTTAAAGCTGGGAGGACCTTTAGTCTCGGTTGGTGTTATGCACCGGGACTAAAGGGGTCCTTTAGTCCCGGATGCTTGCTCCTGGGTGGTGAACCAAGACTAGAGGGGGTTCTCCACTGGGAGTAAAGCCCGTCCCTCCACTAGTGAAACATGTCTTAAACTAAAGTTTTTATTACAATTGCGTGAGTGATGAATTTTCTGACACGGGAGTTACTGAAGTTTGAAATGGCCGGGATCTATTTCCTTGTACCATGGGCATGGAGAATCCTCAGCAAGATCCTTGGCGAAGACAATCTATAATTAAACAGAAGAACCCAGTCATTGTTTTCCATCCCCAAATAGTTTCACCTAGATTTATCTCTGTGAAATTAAACCACATGGCCTGAGGGTTTTAGTACAGCACCTCAAATCCAGCATCTTTCATAGCTTGGATGCACTGGCGAGTGCTGCGGACGTCAGGCAGGCCACTGCCCAGCTCAATTTCAGCCTTGATCTTCCTATGTCTAGCGTTGTTTGGGTCAAAATTTTCAGTCAAGCACAGTTCATCCAGTGCAAAATGCTGGCCAGGTTTCAGCACTCAGTACATCTAAGTAGAGAGCAAAAACTATGTACCTAGAGAACCAAAATAACCTATAATTTAGGACACGAATATATATTTGTAACGCTGAATGGCTTTATAGTTTGTTACTTAATTGGTGCGAGTTAATTGACTTATCACTTCTGTTAACGCTAATTTGGATCACACATCAGTAAGGACTGGCACGTCTGCAGTTGCAAACAATCTTGATCGCAGCAAAGAACGCAGAGGATCGACGAAACTGACTGAGGGGTTGGTTAGGCCAATGTTGAGCTCATTTTTCGCTTGGTAGACTCTCAAATGCCTCCCGGGAAGACCTGTCGGGGAGGAACACATGGAGGTTGTCCTAGGATCGGCAAGGTCACCTAGAATGCCGCCAAATCTCACAGGGAGATGTGACGAACAACAAGGTACATAGAAAGTAGGGTAAAAGGGGTATGGGTTGTGTTTTTTCCGATTGGAAGTTGGAGTACTCAATCGACCACGACCCTCTCATTTATATAGAGGGGTAGTCTTACCCTAGTAAAAAACAAGTCCAAATCTCCAAGTTTCCTACGTCGAAAATAGATCCAAAACTGAATTGACAACCAACTCAGCTCGGAATAGTCAGGAAAACCAGCCTGGCCGGTTTCCTTGAGCCTAGGCGCTATGGCCGGCCAGGGCAAACAGCAAACCCGGGCTGGCCGGTTTGAGAATCAACCTAGCCAGTTTTGGGCAGTGAGGCCGGTTTGGGCAGGGCTAGCCGCCGTCTCCTTCCTCCCTTTTGCTTTGCGCTTCGAATTTTTTTGACCAAATATTCCCCAATATGCTCTCAATACTAGGAACTTGATGGTGTAGCCCAAATTCCATGTTGGCACATTTTTGCATGTCTGCATCTTCTCTGGACTGTGGAGGTTGGAAAACCGTGGATCCTTGTAAGGAGGACTTCCGAGTTCAGATGCAAAATGTGCATTTTGTGTCCGGGTCTGTTTATATAAGCTAGAGCTAGTTATTAATTAAGCTAAAAATTAATTTAAATTAACTGAGGTTGTCTACCTTTTTTTTGCAAAGAACTAAGGTTGTCTAGATAGTTGGCTAACAACTGCTTGAATACTTAGCTAAAATCAATATTTTAAATAGCCTGTTGTAGCCTCTCCTATAGCCTCCGAAAAGTCTAGGGGCTAAGCTATTCCACTTTTAGAGCTAAACACTTTTTTGCCACTATTAGCTGGATTTAGAGCGATGAATCCGCTAAATAGCACCCCATTTGGCCCACTAATTAGACGGAGGAACAAAACAAGGCTGCGGAATGGTGAGACTTTATTGGCGGCGCAAGCAGTGACGAAGATACGACTTGGTAGTTTGATGGTAGTGTGTGGTGTTGGGTTTTGTGGAGTGACTTTGCTTTTAGAGTTTCAGTGCCTTCTTTGTTGTAGGGTAATGGTGTGGTTTTGTTGTGCAGCTCGTACTGATGTGTCAATCTAACCAACTGATGTTGGCTTTGTTGCTTTTAATTATTATTAGTTAGTTTAGTTTTTTTTATTGTTGTGACCTTTTTTGGTCTCATCGCTCTATTGTATTTCGGTTGTTTTAACTCGGGCTGGGCTCATCTCCTTCTTAATATAATCGATGTTTAAGAAAAAAAACAAGGTTACTGAACCAATTGATTAAAGATAACTGTATATGAACTGACGTGTTTGTGATATATATATGTATTGTGTATGAACTGATGTATTCGTGAGACTATAAGTTATTAATTATTAGCTAGTATTTATAATATCCTGTTCATCTTTTAAGTTTATATATATGTAAAATTCTCTAATGTTTAACATGTTTTTTCTCATCTGCTAAATGGGTTTAGTTCGCCGTAGCTTTCGTAGCCTCTAGAAAAACTAGTCGCTAAAGATCATAGCGCGCTATTTTAAAAACTGGCTGAAATATTAGTTCACCTATTAATCTTTCTATTTGGATGCACTAGGTTTAATATTAGCTAATTTTTAACTAGCTAATAATTAGCTCTTCTATCAAACAGATTAATGTCTTTTTCGAAACGAAATCAGTCGTATTAAAAAAAGTAAGCCTAAATAGGCGCCGTACAAGATTTAAGAAACTGTATATGATGTCATAAAAGAAGAGAGGCCGAGCGTAGATGGGTTAAGAGCTATGTATGAGCGTAGATAAATGTTTTGCTCCTGTCAATCTTCAAAGTGCTGCCTCCTCTTTGATCATATGTAAGATTTGATGATTTAGAGTCATTTTGTGCTCGAAAATCCTTTCTCTTTTTATTTTGGTTTTCCCCAAAGAAAAACTTTTCGAGGGAGCGGAATTCCTAGTAACGAGTTTCTTTCCACAACTTCCAGCATATTAAAATGATGATATTGTAGCCCATCTACTGTATAGGAGAACCCCACTATCATATTTTTCTGCAACTTCATGAAGCCATGTCATCCCGTAGGCCGCATCAAGTCACTAAATTGCTACCTACTACTAAAGGTTTTCAAGAAATAAAGAGAGAACGTAAAACTCCCACCAAGTAAATTTTAACTCACGGCAATTGATGCAGATCATCATGAACTGCCAAGCAGGCCCGGCCCTGGGGCAGGGCGAGAGGGGCAGCCGTCCCAGGCCCAGGGAGCCGATGGGCCCCTCAGCCTCCCCAGGTATTGTATGCATATATTCAGCCTATCTTAGCCCAGTAAGGGCACGCAGCAGTGACTCGGCGCGAGCGCGACGGCGCTGTTCGTCTTCCTCTCATCCTCTTTCCTCTGCATCGACTACGAGTCGCCGGCTAGCTAGGGACGTCTGCACGACACACGGCCGCATAGGGCGAGGGCAACTCGGCGACGGCGCTTCCAGCACCAGCAGGCAGGCGGTAGCCACTAGGTATCTCTATCTATGATCCATAGTCATGTACAGCCGACGCTGCCTACTTTATGTAATTATATATTTATGTTGAATTTGATAGTGTTTTTGTGATTGATTAATCAGTGATTCAGAGACCCGGACGGATGGACATCATTTGAGATTTGCAAAAATTGCGATTTAATTGAGTATTCAAATATTCAATCTGCTAGCCACTTGACTCCCTAAGGTGATTGTTTAATCTTTGTGAATTCTCTCTTTATATAATTGTTTAATCTTTAACTAATTATTTCTCTAAATT